TTTTTCGTTGGACTTTCATTTTGTGTGCGCACACGTGCCAAACTATTGCGTCGCCATGGCGCCTCTTCTTCAACAGGTTGGTTGTCTGTGGATGAATCAGTCGGTTGTTTAGATTTTTCATCTGTAATTGATTAAAGACATGCGTTAACTGTTAGGTCAATACTTCAAATACACTCCAACTAATAATAAAAAAGTAAAATAGAATTCAATTTTGTATAAACAAATTAGAGTGGAACGCAACAGTAAAATAATAATACTTTCGAGTTCCGCATAAACAACCAAATTATACCAAACAAAACGTAGGTTAACTATCAGTAGGATATAGGTCAACGAAATACTAAAATAAAACTGTACTGAACTTAGCATGACTTAGCTTTTCAAAAGTCGAAATCATATGAATCGCAACAGTCCAAAAGTGGATGTCTTAAAATTGTCGTAAATAAAAAAGCAATTTCAACCACCAAACGAACATTTTCCAACATGCTACACCATTTCTATATGGCAGAAGTGCTTACGGAGTCAGCTCTCGTACGAAACCTGTTCAAACATTTAATTCTTTAACCATTCACACTTCTAATTGTACATAGAAATGGCGCAGCTCCACATTATAAAACAAACACACAGACACACGCTTTTACAAAAGATACCTTCAGGTTCGGATAGGCTGGTCGAATGTGAGCTCTCTGTTGAGTCGGTGAGTTCAGAATCGGTTTCATCATATTCAGCTATACGCGCTAGATTATGGGCTTGATCCAGTTGATCACTACTATCGATCATTGGCAGTTCAATATCGGATATGGAAGCTGTTAGGCAAACATATGTATTTACAAAAACGGTACAACGATACGACACAATGGACACGATGAGCCAGGTTGAAGTTGATTGTTTCGGTAGTGGCACAAAAGGACAAATTGGGTGTTTGTTGCAACGAGAATTTACAGACATTCGGTTACAATTGGGAACAATGCAATACAAAATGTATAAAACTTTGGTATACTTATTTTATTTACAACAATCTCGTGTGGTAAATGCCACCGATAGTGTCGAAAGAATGAGTAAAAAATAGATGCAAATGGCAGTGCTTTGTCGAACTTAATAGTGTGGAAAACATTGTCGAAATCGAAAATATGTATGATACAAAAATCTGAGAAATGGAAGCACGTGCACAATGGATTTAACGACCATGTGAACCTAATGGAAATTAACATAGAAAACAAAACAAAACGGCAACAAACATTGGGATTTGGCAATAAGAAACAAAATTTGTGAAAGATAATCAGTTTAAGGCAATTTGAAAAATATCATAAATTAATTAGATATCTATATACATACATACATATGTTGTTTTTCTTAAATCTAATGCGTAGCTTAAGTACCGCAGCTATTATGCGTTCGTACGTACCATTTGCCTGGTCCTTCGACTGATCCGACTTCACTTCCACTCGTATAATTTTAGTTGGTGTATTGTCAATGTGATTTTCAATTTTATCTGAGATTCTGTGGCAACAGAACAATGAGAAAAGAACAAAATTACAAAACATGCAGTGTTTACAAAATTAATACGTGCAACCTGATTTGACTAGAAGGACGACGTTTGACACGTTTATTGCTGGTGCTACGCAACTCCTCCAAGAATTTAGCCATTTTCCGATCGGCCACATCGATGCACGTCTGACCGGCATAATTGCGCACGTCCATATCGGCCATAGCATTGACGAGCATCTCGGCTGCCTCCTTTTGGCCCCAATGTGATGCAGCATGCAACGGCGTCCAGCCGTCATTGTCCTGTTTATCGACATTAGCACGTCCGGCGAGTAGTAAACTTATAACCTATCGGCAGCGATGAAATAGATGTTAGAATTAAAAATAAATTGAAAAGAAATATGAAAATAATCAATACCTTAGTATAACCCTTTGCGGCTGCAACATGCAACGCTGTGGCACCAGTTTTTGGATGCGGCCGATCCACTTCGGACGCATCACTGCGCAACCATTTTTTGGCATCACTCAACATTAGCTGCTCCTCCGCCTGTCGCGCCTTCTCACAGTCGATATTGTGTTCAGTCATCACCTTTTGCATGAAATCCATCATCGGCAAATGTTGTATATCGACAGCCAAGTCCACGGCCAAGTCACCGTCGCTATTTACAGCGGCCGGATCGGCGTCATGCTCAACCAAATAGCGGGCTATGCTCACAAAGCTGGCGCGAAACGAAAGGAAAAGCAAAAAAAACAAAACGAAAAAAATTAAAATGAGACAAAAAGAGAGTCGCGAATATATAACGCAAGTGCGTTCAAAATCGCGTTTGTTAATTTTGTTTGCCAATTGGGAAATTGAAGTGAAGAAGAAAATAATCATTTAATTTTTTTTTTAATTTTAATTTCCAAAGCACTTTGCTTACTCACCCGCATGAGGCTGTGGCGTGTAGCGGCGTCCAACCTTCGTTATCTTGTCTGTTTATATCAGCGCCATGTTCGATTAGAAATTCAACCATTTCTAAATTATCATCAATGCAAGCCTTAAATGAAAAAGAAGTAATAGTGGTAAGATTAAATAACTTTGCTGTTGATACATTAAAAGTAAATAATTACAAAAAAAAGATAAAGGGGGAGATTTTTTTATAAAAGGTGAAAAAAACCGACCATTTTATCGCACTTATATAAATTATTTTATCTCACTTTCTTATTCTCAGATTCTCCACCACATTCTCGGCTTTTATAATTATCGATAACGTTATCGAAGCATTTATCGAAAATTTACAGCTCTCAAAGACCTCGTCTTCAATAAAAGTCAGACAGCATTGGTCTTATACACTAAAATGTACAAGTTTCCCTCGATTGGAGTTTTCGGCTTACTGTAGTAGGGTACTGTACGGTTTAGTAATTGCCCCTGATCATAGATAGGAAGCTGTTTAGGGAACGTAAAATCTTAAAAAAGTATTCCTTAAGAATTACAAAATATGTATGTACTAAATGCGTTGAAGAATTTTATCAAGTTTAGAAATGGAAAAACCGACGAAGAGCTATTAAATAGTTACATTTAAAATAAGAAACATACTAATTTTCACTCTACGTATAAGAAATTGGAATTAATTCAAACTAAATTTCACAAAAAAAAATTAATTCACGGAAAAAGTATTTATTGATAGAAGAATAGTAACAAAACAAATAAAAATAAACTACAATGCGATAAATTTAAACAGAAAAATGAAATGGATTTTCAACAATATTGACGATGATATCATCGCTTCTTCCAGCCCGCGATAATTTGCTGAGCTGATTGTTGGGCGCAAGGTGGTTCGCTATGATGGAAGAGTAAGTACATATGTTTCGACGCTTCTTTCGCTAACATACGTACATTTGAATAACATAAAATCAAAAGCAAAATATTAGCGAAGGTGCAAAAACAATCATTGCTTTACATATATACTTATGAACATTAGACTGTACCAGAAAAAAAATTCGCCGCAGACCTTCGAACCTAAAGGCAATTTCGCAAAATAACATTTTTTCCCCCGAACGTAATAGTCTCCTTTTTATATTTTTTTTTGTCATATCTTTGGCATTTTTTTTGTTTGCTCCAAATATCATTGACCTGAAGTACTCCGTTCTAGTTCTTAAACACCAGATCACAGTTCTAATCACCCTAACGTACCAGCCTAATGTCAATAAATTAAAGCTTACCAAAAACTTTACTAGAGAAGAATTTCGATTATTCCAGTACAAAATTTTTTTTTTATTGTCCAGCTATAAATTCAACCAGGTGCTAATCGTTATTTTTTACGCAACATTTTTTATTTGAAACGGCCTCAAGCTCAATAAAATTGTTGAATATAATTGTCCAACAAAATTTGGGCACAAAAAATTGTTGCTTATAAGGTGGTACGTTCTAATGTACATATTCATGTATGTTTATTTGCGAGTGTTGGCTTTGCTTTCGCTCGCATTGTTTAAATTTTATGCCTCACATTTGATAACGGAAATTAGGAATAGAAGACAAAAGCAAAAAGCCATTAAAAATATTCTATTTTGACAAGCAATTCATTTTGATACGTCTTGAAAAAATTTTTATATGTTAATTTATGAAAGCGACGCAACTGAGTGCGGTTAGTGTTTGCCTTATCAATTTGCATACGTATGTATGTATGTATGTAGAAGATTTGTGTTAACACAACTGGAAGGCTATGGAATTTGATAAATTTATGAGGAATGCGATTAGGTGTTTAAGAAACTGCGCTACATTTATGTATAAATATTACTACATATATTTTATTCTTAATTTTTAAATTCAAATAACCGAATTATACGAATAGTAAAACAAAATATGGATAGAACTCTCAGCACTTATATTGACAAATAACCGCCTTTTTAACGGCTAAAATCTAAATAGAGTTCTTTTAGTTTATTGCCTTTGCTAAAAACAGAACGACATCATTGAATATACAAATATACATACATACATACTAACTACAATGAAGACTATGCTAACAGATGCCATAGATGAAGATTAAAACTTAAACAAAAAAAAAAACTACAAAAGAATTTTAGCAAATAGAATTAAGTTCAAATAAAAAAAAAACGACTGGCAAAGTATGCAAACAAAAAGGCCGATGAACGCTCCAAATTTGCGCTGATATGCTGTGTATAAAAAGAGAGGATACACACATTTAAACAGCTGAAATTCCATGCGGGTCCCTAATATTTACTAAGCTCTATGTAGAAAAGTTCAATGTACATACAAACATCCATGCGGATGCCCATAGAAATGTGTGTTTATAGAACCAAAAGCGACACAAACGATTTGAAAGTTTGCACAATCTACACAAATGATGGCTGGATCATCTGGGAAAGCGATTAAGCTAACTATGTACATACTATATGTATGTATGTAGTTTGTATAAATGATATTTGAAATGAAAGGGATTGCACAACATTGGGTAGATGCCGTCAATGCAAATTCAAAAATGAATGCTCGCAAATTCAGCGCCTTTTAAGCTGAATAATTCCACGCAGCGAATATGTCAATGGGTCTGCAGGCGCATATTTGCATAAACTACAGAGACATGTAAATAGTACATACTACATACATATGTGAATACAGTGCCAGATTTAGTATCTATGGGCCCCTAGGCTCTTTATGTGGTGCGATTTGCCACTTCTCTACCTCGCTATGTTTGAGTTCCGGTCGCTTAAGAAAAAATTTTGCATTTGGAAGCAACAACAAAGTTAGCTAGCAAGGATGGCCAATAGCGAGTTTGGTTGTACCGCAATGAGTTCGTTCGTTTCGCTACTCGATAACTGTTGGCGAATCGATGACGGCTATTTTATAAAAATATATTTCACACTACGACAAAAAACATAAAAATAAAATCTCTGATCTTTGTTCAAAACTCAGGACAATTCAATAAATTCGCATACTAGTTTGCAACTTTCTAATCAGATTTTACAGAAAAATTGTAAGCATGCAGTTTTATAATCCATTCAATTTTAGTATAATAAAGTGAAAGTTTTTTAGCAATTTTTTCCAGATGGTGTTATTATTAATGTGTTTAAGCAACAGCGTGAAATAAGCCAAAAATGTCAGCCTATTTTTCGTCATGGACGTCCGTAGTCGGATTTTTATCAGCTGACCAACTGAGAAAGGTACATTCTTAATGCAAACAATCTCTGACGTTATAAACAAATAAAAGTTTATACATCCATATTTCTTTGTTAACCACTTCTTGATTTTTTTCATAGTCTGGTTGAAAATGAATGCAAAAATTTTTAAATTGTATAATTTCGTTGTCTAAATCGTCATCCACGCCGTATTCGTATATCTCAATCAATTTTGTACTCTCTGCTAACCCTAAACGTTCATGGACAAGTTTTAAGGCCTCAATCCTCTTTTTCAGTTTGCACCCAAGTGCGTCTATTACAGGTATGAAACTTTGGATCCGAAATTTATTCGATGGTTTTTTTTATGTCATCTAATTTTTAAAAATATTTTGTTTTATTTTTGCTGTACTTTCATTGTACCTTTTTTTATTTTTTTTTTATTCATTTACTTTTTTTATTAGTTATTATTATTTTAGAAAAAAAAAGTTATTGCTAAAAGGTGAACTGCATAGCGCTAAGACCTCCCCGTTACCAGCCGCAGGAGTGGCTGGTATGAACCTGATCCCTATGGCTATGCCGGTGGCACGCGTACTCTCTTTACCTGCCGCCGACTCAACGAATCGACATATTTTCCTTTGCTTACTAGCCTATAATGTGAATCCCCTTCCATTAGGGTATAAAACGAACTACATAAATATTTCTTTGTTTGACTCGCCTTCAGTGCCTGCTACGGTTCTTAAAGATTGTAAATATATAATTTTTCACTTTTTATAACTTTTTAATTCTTCATGTGGCACGGGCCTCCTTGTGGCGCAGGCCCCTAGGCTAGCGCCTAGTTAGCCTGTGCTTAAATCCGGCCCTGCATACATACATACATACATTTGTTTTACGTTCTAATCGTAGTATTAACCTATATTTTTTGACGATTTCGGAGTTTTAACCGATGTAATATACAAATAAAGGACTTTTCAATTGGGGCGGGTCGATGTTGGCAACTTGTTAGATGTGTCTGTTTAACCTATTATTTGTTATTCAGTCACTGATGCCATATGAATTTAGCTGAGCTGCGAGTGTAACTGAGGTCCAAGAAAGAACTTTCCTTGTTCCATAGTGCTCAAATCTACATATCGCACATTTGATGCAAGAGTGTCATAATCCAAAAAATCAAAGGCTAGAGAAAAACGGCTTTAAAGTTTTGAATTTACATATACATATTAGGGCTGTGCGATTAATTGATTACTCAAAATTTTAATTAATCATAAAGTAAATAACTCAATTATTCGATTAATTGGAAATTATGATTACTCAAAAGTTCAGTTACTCGAGTAATCAAGATTTTTGATTAACCAAAAACAAAAATATTTGAGTAAAATGCTTTATGATTAATCAAAATTTCGAATAAAATGAGTAATCAACATTTCAACTCTTTACATATGTATAAATTAGTTAAAGTTCCTTGATACTTTGAAAACAACGTTTCTGTTTTCAAAAATTAAAACAAAAATTTTTTTTCATACACAGAATGTAAAAAAGAAAATAAGCATTTTCCAAAGCAAACTCTATTACGAGCAAAATTATTTTTTTTGAGTAATCATATTTCAAGTAACTCGATTAATCATCGTTTTGAGTAATCAAAATCTTGATTACTCGAGTAATTGATTAACCGAATAATTGATTAACCAACTTGCTCGAGTAATCGAATAATCGCACAGCCCTAATACATATACATATGTATGTGGCCGTTGAATGTATTTGTTTGCGGTTTGTTATATAACAAGTGGAATTTGTAAAAACTGGCGCAGATTTTTGGAAATTTGGTTGCGAACGGTTTCGCAGATTTTTTTTCATAAGAAATTCATGTTTATATGGAAAAATGTGCAAAAATCCGTCATCAAAAAAGAGTATTATAAATCGCGCTTGAAACTTGCACTTCACTTCATTACACTAAAATTGTGTGGGCTACTA